TAAGTGCTGCAAGTTTGAAAAACAAGGTAAAATAAACTTTTAAGAACAGTAAACAATCTCCAGAGCTTGTTTAATGAATAAAACATGGAAATCTAAGCAAGTTATATTAAGATTTCTTTTGTACTTTATTTCTTAAATTGCACAATAGTTCATAATTTAAGATCAGCAACTTTTTATTTTTATAAACTATTTGTATAAACTATCTTCTATTATAGTGTTATGTTAAGCCTATTTAATCAATATTAAGTCCACTAAGTTTAGTAAATATGTTTTAGACGTACCTCTAAATTTCATTTAAAATTTAGTCATACCCAGCAATATGCAAAAAACACAAGAATTATGGATGATTATGTTAATTAGTAAAATATTCTATATTACAGTTTTCTTCAGCTAGGTCCTATAGTTGCGTTGGAGCTTGGCTTACAAGACCTAATACAAACAGACTTCCAGAGGAAGAAATGGCAGACGGCTCCACAGCAGATGACCACAGCTCTTCAAATATCTCTGGACAAAGAGAGGATGGATGATTGCCCACAAGTGCTCCAGACAGTTACTCCTTGCACAGCAGTCTCCAGCAGGTTTTGAGCACTTGGAGACAAGGAAATAGCCATCTTGCTCAAACTGCGGTAACCACATTTAAGAGGACACTAAGTTTGCATACTTCCTTTTCTAATCACATTCAGAAATTGCTCATTAACTACTTTTCAGCTATTAGAAACCTTTGGACTGACAAGTCTGAAAACACCAGGCGAATCTGCCTTCAATCCTTAATGAAATAAAATTTTAACTAAAAGCTTAAGAACTTAATTTTTAAAAAATTTAAAAAGTTATTTAAAAAAGAACAAAAAATGGATTAAGGGTCCAGATAAATTTGAAATAAGATTTTGGAATTAATTATAAAGAATCCTTCCCATGGGAAAGATGACTGGTTTTGAATGTTTCCTAAGACATAAAAGAGATAAACAATTTTAAAAATTGGACACTAGAAGGAACTAAAGATTTTATTTAAAGGAGAATAATAATAAGCCTGATTAACAGCTACAGAATGATGCAAAATATTATAACACTGGAAATACTGAAGGATGCTTTTTAAAAATGGAATCAGTATCAACAATGTCAATAGCAATGTTTGTTTCTATGGATAGACTGTGTCCAAAAGATGTTTTAGAAGAAAATGGATAAAGAGGAACAAGGCAGAGACAGAGTTGACACTGAAAGTGGATCTACAAATGACAGGCTACAAGAATGACATGGAAAAAGATGTTTCATTGGACATACAAAAAAAAAAATTGGTCAATGCTTTAAAAATCAAAAGGGAATTAATAATAAACCAAGAGAGTGACCTAGATAATTCTTTTATATTGGATTTACAAAAGAGGTTTGTTAAAGTTTGGATTAATCTTATGAGAAGGGATAAAAAATAAATGAAAAGAAATCAAGTTCTATGACATTACTTGAATGGACTAAAGATTAAGATTGTTAGAAGTAAAAGGAGGAATATAAAGTCGGCTTATTTGATCAAGGTTAAAATAGATATGTTGTTATTTCTGGCAACCCTTAATGGAATTTTGCTGACACCAATTTCACCATTTGCTGAAATGACAATGCTTTAATGATTTGTTTATAGATAAGAGATGGGACATGGAATGAAGAGATCATTGGTTGCAAACTAGGAGGGCGTAAAGAGTTACTAAAATTGGTTATACGTTGTGATAAAGGTTGGAAGTCACTTCTTTATATATATTTCTTTTCTTTTTATTTACTAGATTCTTACTTTTACTAGATTTTTAGTGTAG